ACACTCTCCGTTAGCTGTTGCACAGCTGGGCTATTCGCATCTGCTAAATAACAAAATGTCTCAAGCAAACACAAATGCAGATAATGGATTCCTGTGATCACCATATTTTTCTGAAATAACATCACTGTACATTAATTCCAGCTTTGATTTGTTTCATTTGATTCTGTCTTTTTTTTCCTTTTTTTCAAGGTTAAAAGTGCAGCTGAAGAGACCAATGGCAAAATTAACTTTACACAGTAAATTACATCTGCACTGTTTTTTAAATAAGCTACTGCTATTTTTAATTAAGCTACCTTTCCTTTAGTGTCCTTAGTTTTATAAGTGCTGTGCTCCAGAGCCTTCTATTAAGCAAAGTGTTTTAAAATGAGTCTTAAATAATTTAAATATCTCTTTCTGAAATACATCCCTTTCCTGGAAGAAATTTTGTCAATTTTATGCCTTCTTGGGAAGAAAACAAAACAGAAAAAGTATTTCATTATTCTATTCACAGTTTTACAAGAGCAGGAGAAAATGTGCAACAATAAGTCTCCATTCCACAGCAGGCACACACTAAGGAAAATCTATAATAATGTGATTTGTTCTCTTCACATCCCTCCCAATTCGAATGAAGTTAAAAATAAAATGAAAAACAGGGACATTTCTTATTCCAAATTGATGTGAACGATGTTGTTTTTGTTGTCGGTCTGAAGCCTGCCTGGCTTCAGCTAGTACTTCTCCCTCCAGGAGAAAAGGAACCTGGAGCCTTGGTATCCGCACCCTGATACTGGAGATGGAAAAGTGAACATTGCCCAACTCTTCCTCATGAAAACTTTATGGCTTTAGTGTAGACCTGGGCACCCACTCTGACATGCCAGGAGTTTGTCCTTTCCCTGAATGGAGGACAGTTTAGTCCCATTCGCCCATTAAGCTCCTTATTAGACAAAGGAGGAGAATGAGACTAAGCAAGTGTGACCATGTTTACATGCAAATTAGTTTTCCAACTAAATGGTACTACTAAGTATTTCTTTGTTCTGTAATACGTGAAGGAGACCAGAAGAGACAGATGTGGTAAAACTCAGCCCAAGTGTAAACAGCTGGAAATGGATTTCCATGAAGCATATCATGCCACGACTGAAGCAGCTTCATGTCATTGAGTTGTACATTTCCAGCACTCCAAGGGATGGCTGGATGGTGACCAGCCCCTTCCAGTCTCCAGCTCTGAACAGTCATACACAGTCACTGAGTTAACCAGATACAGAACTGCACCCAAGATTGTAAGATGCTTTCTTCTTGGGTGAAGAAAACTTTGTGCCTCGGTGCTCTCTTACGATAACTCACTTTCAACAACGACACTTTCTCCCAGGAGAGCACTGCAAGGAACTGAATCACTTCTAGTCTGTAACCACACATCAAGGGCATGCCATGACAGCAAGCAATGCCATGCAGCTATTTATGCTACAATAAAGAGGAGGTGAATATAAACTCTAGGTATTACGTATGAGATGCTGTTTCTTCAGATGTAAGGGTACAATAATATGCGAATATGGTATTGTTGTTTGATTTCGATAGGAAGCGGTGTCGTTTCTAGAACAGCTACGTAACATCTCTGAAAGGAACTTGAAGACAAAAGAATGCAAACTGACAGAGGAAACACCTAGAAACATGATGGGGTGATGCCTGTCTCTGTGTTCGAGACTGAGCACACATACTGTCCTCTGACACAATAACTCGCCTCAGAGATGGCGACACCGTGTCTAACCTCAGCAGTGCAGTTATGAGGTGTAAGACTGTACAAGTGCCACCTGAACATTTCCTAATGATCACATTGAAGCAGGGCAAAAATAAGTCTGGTTCCTGGGAAATTAGGAGACAGGTCCAATATTTGAATAAGTGGCAATGGTTTTCTAGGGCACAACCCTGAATTTTCAGGAGCAGGAAACCTAAATAGGAATCTGCTCCTCTCCTCTTTTAAGCAGCTCCCATGGAAAGACTCCTTGGGCTCACACTAATCAGAGACAGAGTTATACCAGGTGTCATCCAGAGCAACAGCAGGGTGAATCCGAGTAAAAGCAGGCCACTTCAGCATCTGGCAGGGTCTGTTTAGCTCAAAACATGATTACAATCCAGACTGTTTATTCATGCTCAAATTGTATAATTCGGTTGTTTATACCAATAGATGTCTCCTTCTTTGTGCAACGCACGTGGGGTTCTGAAGCCCACATTTGGTTTGAAGTCCTCTTCAATAACAGTAAAAACCAAATCAGTTTACAGCTTTATGCTCCAAGTGATCCAAAGCCTAATTATTCTGATGCATTTGCTAACAGAAAATTGAGTACAGTTCTACTGATGCCAGGGGTGTCATGGGGCCCCACAATGAACATAAGCAGCAAGATGAACAGGCCCATGATATTTCATAGCAGTGAGGTAGTCATATACCCTCACCCTTGCTGTATTATGCAGCACACTACATCTGAGTTCTAGTGGCTATTAAAACATATAACTAATATTTCCTGATGCTTTTGGAAATCAAAGCTCAATTAAAAGATTCAGTTTAGATTGATTCTTAGGTATTCTACCACAAAAGACAGAACAGCAAAAAACATGTCTATCATGTAAACTGGCATATTCAAATCACAGAATCACAGAATCACAGAATCACTAAGGTTGGAAAGGACCTCTAAGATCATCAAGTCCAACTGTTAACCCAACACCACCATGTCCCCTAAACCATGTCCTGAAGCACCACATCCACACGTTTTTTGAACACTTCCAGTGATGGTGACTCCACCACCTCCCTGGGCAGCCTCTTCCAATGCTTGACCACTCTCTTGGTGAAGAAATTTTTCCTAATATCCAATGTAAATCTCCCCTGGCACAACTTGAGGCCATTTCCTCTCGTCCTATCACTAGTTAGTTGGGAGAAGAGACCAACACCCACCTCACCACAACCCCCTTTCAGGTAGCTGTAGAGGGCGATAAGGTCTTCCCTCAGCCTCCTCTTCTCCAGACTGAACAACCACAGTTCCCTCAGCCGCTCTTCGTAAGACTTGTGCTCCAGACCCCTCACCAGCTTCATTGCCCTTCTCTGGACATGCTCCAGCACCTCAATGTCCTTCTTGTAGTGAGGGGCCCAAAACTGAACACAGGATTCGACGTGCGACCTCACCAGTGCCGAGTACAGAGGCACGATCACTTCCCTACTCCTGCTGGCCACTCTATTTCTGATACAGGCCAGGATGCTGTTGGCCTTCTTGGCCACCTGGGCACACTGCCGGCTCATGTTCAGCCAGCTGTCAGCCAACACCCTCAGGTCCTTTTGCGCTGGACAGCTCTCCAGCCTCTCCTCCCCAAGCCTGTAGCGTTGCATGAGGTTGTTGTGACTGAAGTGCAGGACCCGGCACTTGGCCTTGTTAAACCTCATACAGTTGACCTCAGCCCATCAATCCAGCCTGTCCAGATCCCTCTGCAGAGCCCTCCTACCCTCCAGCAGATCAACACTCCCACGCAATGACCCCAGAACTCTGTCCCTCTTGTTCTTCTATTGATTCTTTTTGTCTAATATTTTAATTTGAACTGTGTGAGTCAAAATAAAAAAAGCTTTGTTCTAAGTTTGTCTAGTGCTTACAGAAGAAGGTCATGAGAAAGATTGCTAGGCATAGACAGTAATGAACTACTAGTAACACTGCTGCTATAAAATGTGAAGCAGAGATGGCAATAGGTTTGAGGGAAGAAGGAGGACTGGGTTTTGAAGACACATTGGAAATACCAGCTGCGCTGGTTAAATGACACACCCTTTGACAGCAGGCAGACGGTGAATCTTGGGCTGTCACTCAGTAGGTTCCTGCTTCACACCACCTCTAACCAAAGCCTGCCACTTCCTCTGCTGTCTTTGCTCCAACAAAACGCTCCCTTTGTGCTGTTGCAATCCACTTCCCTCTAAAGATCCCATGGGGACTTGTGGTGCTCGTCACCACCTGGTGTGTTCCAGTTCCAGACCATTGCCTTTGTGCAAAAGGAAATAAATGCTGGTGGTGGCTGAAGTGTCTTCCCTTTCCTAAGCAGGTAGACATTTTAGCACACTTGTCATTACATCATTTTACATCACCTCTGTATTTGGGACTCCCTGAGCGATGAATAAGCAGTTGGCACCATCTCTGGGTGTTGGCATGATGGGCTTTCCTGTTGATTTTTTGCCAAAAGACATTTCTCCAACAAGGAGAACTATCAAAAAACCTAATATGCTGCTAGACATAAAACAAAAGAAAATGCTTTCCTGTTAGAAATTACATAAGTAATCCAAAATGAAAGATGACAGAAAATCACTGTACTTACTATATGTCGTGCTGCAAACACTCCATCAACTATTGCACAACAGAATGCTGCTACCACGCCAAAGCTGATAAACACGATGGAGGCTACTAACTGAGAAGAGAAAAAACAGATTGAGTAATGTTTTCAATATAATTCTTTAAGTAAAACAATTGCACTAATTTTTCTACTATTCTTAAACAACGTTTTCTGCTGCTGTAATTCACTTTAGATCAGTGTTGCAAGATGCCAGTCATGCAGTAGAAAAAAGGCAGAAATTCTTGATGCTGCGTTGACATACCATCAAGTCTACTAGAAAAGCTTAAATCTTTCTAGAGAAAATTAAGTCAGCTGTAAGAGTTATTAATTCAATGGTGATTTCTTCTAAACTTATTAAATAAAACAGCAGTGGTGTCCATAGGGAGCATGGCAAAAAGCCATATTCCTGTTGTCTCACATCAACCTCAGGAGCTTTATTACAGTGGTAGTAATTCACATATACAAATGAAGACATTGTAGTAAGTTAATAAAAAGCCTGTGAACTCTCAGAAAGCTTTTATCATCCCAATTAGCTTATAATAATTTATAGCACAACAAAATCAGAGACTCATAGGACTAGTACCTCTGGAAGGGCTGGGATGTGCTGCCTTGGCCCCTGCCCTTTTTGGGGCTCCCAGCCTGCCCCTCAGTCTAATAGTGGGCACAGCAGAGAACAGCAGAGCTCAGCACATGTCCCAGCTGCAGCACAGACAGCATACTGTCTTTGGTAGCCTACCAGCCATAGTTTCAGACCTCATTTTACCTCCCAAGCTGCTTCATTCATTAAGCATTATCAATTCTTTATCAACAGGACTGCAGATGGAGTAACGCTAGAGCACTGCTCTAGCAGAAGTGGTGGTGGTTTCGGGGGAAAAGGCTGTGCAGGTGAGGTGTGCTGAGTCCCCTGCTAGCCGTGCTCACTTTATCTCCAAGGACAACTACAGCTGCAGCTCTAGCAGCAACTGCAGGGCTAGCACAACCCCAGAGACGGCAATCTTACTCCCCAATTCACTCTGAAGAGAGCAATAGGACTTGGAAAGGCTGAGCACTGGTATGCGTCTCCATCAGAGACCAGTCAGTGTCCTATTAGCACATGCTCTTGAGAAGGCACTGGCTTGTTTGGAGGGCATGTCTGAAGGATGCAGTGCTGTGAGCGAGGCGAGATGGAATCCTGAAAGAGAAACCCTGTGTACACCGGGCAAGGCACTCCTCTTGGACTCATTAACCGCAACACCATCAGATGAGGGACAGATGCCGTCACTCCCTCGTCTGTCAGATTAGAGGGTTTTGTGACTTTGAGGACTCTGCACCTTGAGTTTGGATGAGGGGGTACCTGCAGGGTGTAAGATGTACCTAACGTGCATTCTCTGGCTACGTTTTTAATATAATTTAATGTACATCTCTCCTGTCTCTGGCATTTCTTACGCAAAGTCACAAGAGGAACCCTTTGAAACATCCTATATGATAGGTTAAGTTTAATTTACAACAGTATTGAGTTATAGTTAATAAATGCAACAGATTAAAAAAATCCCTTGAAAACTGACAGAACAGTGCCCTTAACTGATAGAATGCATGGGCCAGGGTTTCAGCTAAGAATTTGGAACCTCTTTGTTATTTACCAGTCATTAATTGCTCCTTCACAACATGTATTTCAGAAATGCCCAGATACAGAATACCAAAACTGCATCCATACAGTTCATATAGCCCTTTTGCCTATACAAAATTCATATCTGCATTACCTAAATACTGTTATTACATGTGTAAAATTTGTAATGCATCACAAAACCACTTGAAAAATGGACTCTTTAGCTTATGTTAGCCTAAGAACAGTACAATGTCAATAGTGTCAGCAGGGGACACAGCACTGGTGACTTCCTCAAAAAAATGCATATTAGGCAGGTAAGAAACTACAGCCTTATAAACCCATAGCATTGGATACACAGGTCAAAGCAATATCAAACATTTGGAAATAAGAGCACTCAGTGAATCAGCAAAAAGTACAACTTAAAAACAGAAGAATCACAGCTTTCAAATGCTTTCTGATACATTCTCTTAATCTCTCATTAGGTCATGGCTGTTAGATCATGTAACCAGAGGTGAGCCAGCACTGCCACAGGGACTGCTGTGTAATCTGAATCCTCAGCACTGGGAGGAAAGGGGGATGCAGAAGTGGCTGGGTACTGGCTGATCTTGGGAACCTGCTGCATTCCCCCTGCAGCCAGCTCCATCCTGCCCTAAGGAGGCACAAACGCTAAGAGAGCACTGTTGGCTGCACCACCGTTCAACCTCCGCTATCCCTCGGCTCTCCAGTATGGCAGGTCATGTCTCACAAATCTGGTTGTCTAAAGATCTTAGCATGCAACTCATCAGATCAAGAAGGCTGTGGGCTTCTTGTAGAGAGCTATTATCGTTGCAGACCAGTGGGCTGTGCTGCCCTGTGGCAGCTGCATTTGCTAGAGACCCTGATCTCTTTATTTGAAAAAGCAGCAGTGTTTAAAAGTTCTGATGAAGTCATTATTGTCTGATACTTCTCTCTTGCTTTTCAAGTCATAGCAGTCAATCAAATAATTAGTGGGCTTAGCCAGGTGTTTCCAAATTGCCTGAGCTCAGGACTAATTTACTGGAAGCTGAACTCAAAGTGGCTTTTCATTTCACACATGAGCAACTTATTGATGATCTACAATCCCCAAATCAACATTTTCTGCTCATGGAGGTAGCTTAAATGAACTGATGAGTTCAGTTTCACCATATAGCTATAAGAGACTGCATATAAAGGTGCACAGTAAATTGTAGTATAGACAGGAGCTATGGAGTTGGCTTTGCACTCCTCAGTCATGTTGGTGAGCATCTACCCATTCAAGAAGTTGCATGCAAGTCAAAGGTTGCCAGCCAGAGTCTGCTCCTCTTATCCATGCCTACTAGCAACTACTTTGGTGACTGTTCCCTTTGAAATTAAGAGGACCATTTCTTGTCTGAAGTAATACTTCTTACAATGCCGAAGTGGCAGAATGTGACACTCAGACGTTCTTATGACTTAAATCAACTTCTCTACGTATTAGAATGATAAAAGAAGTAATAATACAATGAAGTCCTTAAAATAAAATTACAGACATATTCTCTCTCAAACCTCCCATTGCTTATTGAGAATGTGAAAAACACATAAACAAAGTACAAAATTAATTACTTCCAAAAATTGCAGCAAATACAGCCAAATGAAGAGCTGTTGTAAATTCAAAAGCTAATTTTCCCAAGTGGCAGGTGATTGCTGGAGTTGTGAGTTCACGAGCCTAGCACTGTGAAGAAAGAAAAGCCGTGCAGTTCATTTAAATATAGAGAATTTTTGTTGATAGGTAAAAGAAATAGCACTTTAAAAAAAATAAATACTAATCCATCCCATCATCTCACATCCATTTTTAGCAGCAGTATGTTTTGTCACAAAGCTATTCATTATTTATAGCAACATATTGTAACAGTTATTCAGAAAACAGTTTTGGTCTTGCTGTTCCATTGCTCTGTAGCCAGGCTTCTCTACAGCTGGTGTTATCAGAACATACTTACTCATGGTTCTGGTACAGAATACAATAATTTAGCTATTTACAAGGGAACCACGAAGCCAGTTATTAAACAGTGCAAATTGTACTGTGTGGGTCTAACAATCAAAACCAAAAGCCAATTGTTTAACGGAAGTATTTTAGCAAAAGGAGCAAAACAGCACTTAGAATGAGGGACTTTTGCAGATAGTATTAACTGAAGAGCCGTTACCTTCAGTCATGTCACAGAAACAAGAAAACACTCAAAAATGGAAAACTAGTGAAAGGCTGGACCACTAAATTCCTGCGTGCTGCCTTTTATTGCAGAATTCACCCGCCTTAGGAGCTCTTGTCCTTCGGCAGGCGTACGGCACCGCTGGTGGCACCGTGCCACCCTCCCTGCAGGC